TTTCCCTCAATCTGAAGCAGGATAACTGCGAGCCAAGACCCCAGGAGACCAGCTTGAAGGCGCCTTCTTTCCTCAGTTTGCCGCTGGGTACATCTGCTTCTTGGACCATGCATAGAGGCTCAAATGAGGCCACCACCCCTATCACACCCACGGGTGACTGCCATTGGTTCTTAGGCACTAATTTGGCACCATCTGGAACAGGGAGCACCATGCACTTTGGCAGCAGTCCTGCCTGTGGCAACTCCAAGCCCAGCAAACACCGAAGGGACAAAACGCCGGAGCCACTGGACTTTCAAAACAATTGGCTCGAGGATGGGAAAGCAGTAGTGTGCAGTGTATCGCAAGTGGACATGAAGTACAAGCGCCGCAGCTGCCAGATGGAGTTTGAAGAGGGTATTAACACAACACAAAGCAGCGAGGAATTTGGGAAGCTGGGCAAGCAATCCAGTTTCTCTGGTAGCATGGAGGTCATCGAGGTATCCTGACAAAGATGACAATCCAACTCCAGTGAAAGCTGTTTATTTATTACAGAGTTCTGTTGTTAAAGAGCTTCGCATCTAAGAGGGACTCGTCTCTGCCACCTTTTTCAAACCAGGGTTGAAAATGGGTCATTTAGGATACACTAAATATAGCACTCACACCAAAGACCTCACGGAGTGACCTTTTTCTGGCATGTCATCCTATGGTACACTCAAAATGAAGGAGGACTGACGGAGGACGTTCTTTTAGCATGATCATACAAAGACACTAAACATGAAAGAATGAAATGAGTGTGTGTATGTGTGTGTTTATGCTGGTTTTGATGCAAATTAGGGCTGCCACACTTAACAGTGACTTCTTACCTTCGGCCTGAGGGGGAACTGTACAGTATGTATGCCCAAGTTTGAGAAGATCTATTTAGCTATAAATTGAGTAAAGAAGGGCAGTTGCATTCAATAATGTCCCTATTCAGTGTTATACTTTTTATCAACAGTGTAATACAAGAGTGAAAATATGAAGTGTATGTATCTCTCAGATCTACTACTGTGCACTGAGCATGCTCAGAATGGCTGGCTACCTACAAACAGACAAGCTGCACCCAGCAGCACTATGTACTAAGCTGTAAATCTAGACATAGTTACATACATATATATATATGTATGTAACTATGTCTAGATTTACATGCGTGTGTGTGTGTGTGTGTGTGTGTGTGTGTGTGTGTGTGTGTGTGTGACTGTGCGCGCAATCAATGAAAAAGACTTTCACATCAGTAACAGCAAATACATTTCAGACAGCTCAGCACTAATGAAGGCTACCATTCACTCGCTAATGATCTGCACCTTACTGAAGCCACAAACACACACACAATAGACGTTTAAATTTACAACTGTACTTGACTGGCTGAGTGGTTTAAAATCTATGAGCCCTAATTGTCTTTTGCGTGTCAGATTCCTTGTCCGAGTGTAATTAAGAAAAAGGACATAATGATGAGCGTATGAGAAATATAACTCACCCAAGTAGAGTATCTTCCTCTGGCTTCATCTGGCAAAGAAAACACTGAGCAACCTTAACAGAGTATTCGCTTTAATAATTGCTCGTGTTCCGTCTATATATATATATATATATATATATACTTTATATATAAATATCATCAGTGTTGTGGAAGCTACTTTTAAACTTTCCAAGCTACAGTTAATTAAACTGCAGTAATTAAACTACCTTATTAAACAAAATAATAATAAAAAATAATAATATAAAAAGTACTTTGCTACTTTAAATGTTAAAGGAATATTTCACCCAAATATGAAAACTGGTTGGAAATGTGCTCACTCTCAGACTCATAGTTACATACATATATATATATGTATGTAACTATGTATGTATGTAAAAGAAATTTACTTAAATTTAAATGGTCTATTTAAAGTTTCACGCATTGTTGCTTTAATTTATTGTATTGGTTTCATTCTGGCAATGAGCAATAATATATTATTTGAAAACTTTCCGGTCTTTGTCTGAGTCTCTGGTGCAAATACAACACAAACACACACATTTATAATGGCTTTAAATTGAAGAACTACAATACATGTACACACACTTTACTTGTGTGTGCTATCTAAATGGAGACGAACAATACACTTCTATTAATTTTAAATACAGCTAATTATAAATACAAAAAAAAAATCTCTAACAACTCCAGTCCATCAGTTAACATCTGGAGAAGACAAAAAAAAACATTCAGGAGATTTTAACTGCAAACTGTTTGTTCCGGCTAAAATAGTCCATAAACCACAACTTCCTCCGGTGATAAAGTCATCTGGTCTGAATCAGGAGAGAAGTCTGCACAGATGAAGTTTACAAGCCAAAACAGCTCTAAACAAATGTGTGGCTGGATTTTGATGTGGGAGACAACAGGAGATGCACTTTTTCACTGCAGGAAGCGTGATTATGGATTATGGATTATGGACTCGTATTTGAGTTAAAAACGTCTTAATGCTGGATTTGTTTCAGCTTTTGTCTTTGTTAACTGA